GCAGTTTTCTGAAATATAAGCTGTTTGTTCACCAGGGAACTGACTTCAGTCTCACTCAGACACACAACAAAAGCATCTGTTAATACTATAAATGGAAAACCCAAAATTAAGACTTTTAAATGCTACCCTAAATGAAGTTCTTCTCATACATCATCATTATCCAGAAACTTTTACCGTTTTTTTATTTGTTTTGGTGCCATTTTCACTAGCAATCTGTGCATTTTCAAAACTCTTTAATATATAACAGATCATCAAAAATGCACTTTTATCAAACATTTCAGTGTTTACAGTTGCATTGGTCCAAAACACAAAATGTGAAAATATCCTTTTCACAACACAAAAAAGTGTCTCATCTACGTAAACATTTCATTCACAGTAACTGCACTGTGATGCTATTACTATAAAACTTTTCATTTGCCTATTTTTTTCTCGTTCAGTTTAATACGTTCGTCTTAAATCCAACTGATATTAATGGTTAATCAGTGAATCGTTTGGCAAATCTATACATTTCTATAGACATAGTTTCTGTAGAACTGCATGGTTTGCAATTCCCGAAATGGGTAACTAAGTATTATGAGTATTATTGTTAATGTGAGGTAAGTGTATTTTCTAATGGGCCTGTATTACTGTAACAACTTTAATTCAGCAACATGGCTGATTTGAAACATGCAATTGAATGAAATGATTGTAAAAGTCAGCATGAAATCAAAATTGACTTTATTTACTTTATTAGCGCACATTGCTAGTCTTTATGTGAACAATTAATCCGTGCAAGTTAATCCACTGAAAAAATTGTTTGTTTTGGTAATCTTTAATCAAAATCTGAACATTTACTTCCGCTCTGGAATTGCATTCCTTCTCTGATGACGTCAGTTTGACATCTTGGGCAGAATATCCTTAAAGGGGTCATATGATGTTCCTAAAATGAACATTATTTGGTGTAATGAAATGTGTTTATGCTGTTTAAGACAGATTAAAACACATTATTTTCCACATACTGTACATTATTGTTTCTCCTCTATGCCCCGCCTTTCTGAAACGCATAGATTTTTCTGAAGCTCATCGGTCTGAAAAAGCGAGGTGTGCTGTGATTGGCCAGCTATCCAGTGCGTTATGATTGACCGAATACCTCAAGCGTGTGACGGAAATGTTACGCCCCTTACCATACTGTGATGATGCCCTGTCCAGCCGGAGCGACAAGACAAAAACATGAAAACCCATTATAAACGAGGCATTTGTTGCATCCAGTGGGGACATAATTACTGATTATAATGACTTATACTGTCTTTTTACATGTTGTGTTGCATCGCGCCGCGTAAACATAAAACCATGTCTGCATTTGCGATCGGAGAAACAACAAACAAGTGCTACTCTACACTGCTCAAAACTTGCGTTTGAATCGTCAGTGGCATGGCGGCGGCGGCGGCGGCAACAACAATACTACAGCGAGAATAAAAGTTATGCCTTCTTTCTCTGCGTGAACATTTGGGCGGTGTTATGCAAATCTTCCTACATAGTGACGTAGACATGTGGGGGCGTGTTAGAACGAGCCGTTTTAGGTAGGCGTGGCTAACTTTTATAAAGAATATCTCTTTGGATTTGAGACTTTAGTCTTTGCAACTTTACAGATCTTCTTTATGCACCAAGAGCTTGTAACACTCCAAAGATGAAGGAACAATTGAAATCGCATCATATGACCCCTTTAAACACACCCCTCCAACCGTTAGTTAGCCATGAGGGAGAGATGAGAGGAGGAGCGCAAACATAAAACCACGCCCGCTCCTCAATATTCAGTTTCAGCTGGAAATACGTCAGTTCACTGAAATAAAGTCGGCAGCAACTTCCGGTTCACGCAGACTTTAAAAACACTACACTGAAGATCATACTGTTGTTTTTCTACCAAATGTTCTCATTACACATTAAAAAGACCTTGTGTTTTGAAGAAATGGCTAAGTGGACTGAAAATACTATATATATAGATTGACCAGCAGTGTTACAAGCGTGATCTTGGAATTTTTGCAAGATTTCTGAAAATGTACACCTTTCATGTAAAAACTGCACCAAAACGGAAAAAAAAAACCCCAACAGAAATAAAGTCGGCAGCAACTTCCGGTTCACGCAGACTTTAAAAACACTACACTGAAGATCATACTGTTGTTTTTCTACCAAATGTTCTCATTACACATTAAAAAGACCTTGTGTTTTGAAGAAATGGCTAAGTGGACTGAAAATACTATATATATAGATTGACCAGCAGTGTTACAAGCGTGATCTTGGGATTTTTGCAAGATTTCTGAAAATGTACACCTTTCATGTAAAAACTGCACCAAAACGAAAAAAAACCCCCCCAACAACAACTGTATTACCCCCTGTGACATACTCAGGTCTTACTGAGCCAGTGAACTGGAGGAAACATTAGACAGACATCTGTGAACAGAGCTGCCACATCACCCTGACACCGAAACACACAAGCTTTGTATTCAGAGACAGAACTGAACTAATGTTTCTTTCACTAAGATAAATGTTTATTTCAGCTCAAATTGAGATAACTGAATCACTGTGACAACACTAAACATTCTCACTGCTATCTGAACTCTGCTTTGACCTTTGAACTTTTGTAATATTTACGTCCGTAATCACCACAATACATATTAAGGGTGACACAAATTCAAATTAAAGGCCAATCAATATTATTAAACATCTGATCGCCTCGATTATTAAGCGGGGTTCAGCCCTACACTATAACCTACATGTATATTTTAATTAATGGCTCATCATAGAAAGGCCATTAATGATTTCAATTAGTCCTAAAATAACAATTATGAATAATGCATACATTTAAAAAGTATGTAAGAATTAAAACAATTAAATCGATGTAAAATTAAACACAATTTTACATTTAATTAAAATAAATTAAAATAAATTGTTAAATGAAATTATTACATTGAATCAAATTAAAAATTGAATTAAATGTTACATTAATTAAACATTTAAATACGTACATATTTATTAAATTGAATTAAATGAACAATTAAATAACATTTTAAATTAATAAAAATTTGAATACTTACATATTTTAACTTGCTGGTTATCAATAGGCAAAATGTTCTTACTTTTTAACAAGCATTCTCGACCTGACCGGGAAACGGAATAAATCATACTATTGCGAAGGTTTGGCTAATTAATAGTAATTAGGATTCCTAACTGGGTTTCCTAGTAACGTCATAGGGACCTAATTAATATGCATTAGATAAACCTTCGTCATAGTAGAATCAGCAAATTCACAGTCGGGAAGGGGGTTGGGTTTAATAGCAGCCCTGGAATGCCAGATAGAGCAGGTCTGAAGTGTGTGTGTGTGTGTGTGTGTGTGTGTATGTGTGCGCGTGAGTGTGTGTGTGTGCGTGTGTGTGAGTGAGTGTATGTGTGCGCGTGAGTGTGTGTGTGTGCGTGTGCGTGTGTGTGTGTGAGTGAGTATGTGTGTGCGTGTGTGAGTGAGTGTGTGCGCGTGCGTGCGTGCGCGAGAGTGTGTGTGAGTGAGTATGTGTGTGCGAGTGTGTGTGTGTGTGTGTGTGTG